GTATTATTCTGTAAAAGTTAAATTGATTAAAAGAAAGTTACTTCATGAAAGAAGCTTGATTAATTTAATTTCAAACGTAATACAGTTTATCAATTTAAATATTTGATCGTTATCATCTTAATTTTTTTTTTAAACTCTCTCTTCCGCGCTCACTGCGGTAAAGTAGCGGTTCCAAGTTTCAAAGGTTGTTTTTAACCCTTTGTTTTTTGTTTTTTTTCTACAAATAGATATTGTTCACTATAAACAAATTACTTTTTTTTTACCTTTTGGTTAAACAATATTTTAATATTCTGTCTCAAATTTATTTTTATAAAAATACTCAAAAATAAAAAAATGAAACAGAAAATAAAATAAAGTAACCTGATAAGATGATTAATAGAATTATTATTATTATTATTATATGGATTAAACTAAACAAAAGCAAGTGACCTTATAAGATGACAAATTATTTAAATTACGTTTTGTCTTTTGTCTGGAAGGGAAGAGCGCCAAGACATGGCTTGGTGACGAGAAGTTAATGAAATTATTGTACTCTTTGTGGAACTATGACTTATCGATAATCTTAGCCAATCTGCAAACGGATAGTGTCCAAATTTTATCAACTTTTGCTCATAAATTTGAAAGTTGATCACTCTGTTTGTAAATCAGCGGAGATAATGAACATGTGGTGGTCTTAATTCATATTATTTCTGCTCCTTTTTATTTCATCAATTTTATTCATTTTAATATTTAAAGTTAAATTTAAACATATAATAATAATAATAATAATAATATATTTTTATTGATAGTAAATATATTTATCATCTTAAAAATATAAATTTTATAATATTTTTTGTTTAATAATTAAATTTTTTGATAATAAAAGGCAAAGATCTGAGAATTATTTATAAAATTATAATAAATAATTTTTTAATAATTTATTAGTTTTTATATTTTTAAATTCAAGATTAAAAGTTAATGTTAACATTTTTTTTTCTTTATTTAAAGTGACATAAAATATATAAATTTAGAAATTCAAGTATTTTATTAGAATTCCTCAGTAAAATTTTAAATTATGTTTTTAACATGTGTCTAAAAACTAAATAATAAGAATCTATATATTAAATTAAATATTTATTAAAATTATAAATTTAATACATTAATAAAATTAAATATTGAAACTTTCAATTAAAATTATTTATTTTTTATTTTATAGCTTTAGACATGCATTAATTTTATTTTAATATTTTATTAGCATATCTCTTTGATTGACTTTTAAACTATTCAACTAATATAAATATTTTATTTATTATACATAAATTTTTTGTGTTAAAAATACTAATAAAAATAATAATTAATGATATCCTAACTTTTATATAATAAATAAAAGTAAATTTCATATCCTTTATGAGGATTAACGTATTTTCATCGGTCTTAAATATAATAAAAAATATTAAATTATCATAGTAAGAAAGTTAATTAATCTTATTTAATATTTTTAATTTTATAAAAAATAACTGTATTTCTTATTTTTATTTTCAACATTATTTAGGACAAATTTGATATTTATGATAGTTTTTTTTATAACAAAATATGAAGTTGTCATATTATATTCTTATAGTTTAAATTTATAATTTAAGGAAGGTGATGAATTATAAAATATTAGGATATGGTAATTTCTTAATTAATATTATATGTACAAAGAAATAATTTTAATTTTAATATATACAAAAATATTTTTAATTTTAATATTTTTATTTTTTATAAAAGATAATTTTTTCATTTAAATATAATTTATATCTTATTTTATTATTTTTTATTTATATAAAATATTAACCAAGATGACATAATAATGTCATAATATACATTAAATCTAGAATAAGATAGTAATTTATCATTCCTTTATTATATTCTATCATTATTTAACTTTTTATCTTATCATTTTATATTCTATTAAGTTCATCAAATTGAATATTTAAGATAATTTAATATTTTTATTAACAGTAAATACATTACTTAATAGTTTAAGTTTCTTTGTTAAATGTCAAAATAAAAAAAAATTAAAAAGTCAATTAGCACAGAAGAGAACTAAATTTTAGTAACTAATTTTAAGATTTTTTTTTTAAAGTTACATAAATTATTAACTCATATCTCAATAGTAAAAAAAATTATTAAAAATAAAATTTGAATTAAATAAAATATTTTTTTGAAATATAAAATAATTAAAATTTATTTACAATTTTTTTTATTTACATTATAAGTATTTTTACAGGACACAATCCTATTCAAGTTGAATATGACTATTATGAGTAATAAACTTTTATTTTATTTTATACTATTAAATGAGGTTAAAAAAAAATCTAAAAGCAAGGAGAGACCTACACAACCCTTCTAGGTGAGCAAATGCTCAAAGCATCCAACCTTAAAAAAGGCCATACAAAAGAAAGAGCTCTATCAAAACAAGTAAATAGCAAATAATCTTCTACTCCAACTTTGTCTAACTTATCAACATTTTGGTTAGCCTCCAACCTTAGAAAAGGCCATACAAAAGAAAGAGCTCTATCAAAACAAGTAAACAGAAAATAATATTTTACTCCAACTTTGTCTAACTTATCAACATTTTGGTTAGTCTCCCTAAAGGAATGACTATCCTAATGAACTTGATGCTTTTCAACAATACTCTAACATCATTAATCAAGGAAAGAGGAGATCATTACAATCTTGAACAACCAATAACAAAGAAACAACTTCATTAGAATTACTCTCAATCCAAATTAGGTCAATATTTTTTTGCATAACTAGCTTGACTCGCAATAGATACTCTAAAATTCACCTACTAAAGGAGAACAAGGGTCCAGATTGCTTTGGAATACAGCAATAGAGTTGCCCCTGTCATCTTGGATCAAATCTCCACACTCAGTTGAAGGGTCTGAGAAGTTAAGTCGTCCACATTCAAGAGATTAGATACAACCTTTGATTCACTCCCTGCAATAAGATTGAAAGTATTTAAAATCATAAAGAATGTTATGTATTAAAGATCCAAGTTAGACAAAAGAAAATACCATAATTCCTATATTTCCACAAATACCAAATGACAATCTCAAATAACAAATTTCAGCAAGAAAATTTATTGAGGTCAGTTTTAGAAAGATTTTGATTTATCCAAACAAAGAACCCACTAAAAAAATAAGCCAAATTATTAGGTAGAATAAGTTGCTTCCATATTTGTTTATCATACTAGCAGTCCCTAAGGACATGAATGATAGTTTTTGGTGCATTCTCATACCTAGTACAAATAGGAGAAGTAGTGATACCTCTTCTACATCTTTCAACATTTGTTAGTAATATACCATGTGCAACTTTTCAAATGAACAAATTAATTCTAGGGGGACCTTCCCATTTCCAAATGAGTTTAAAAACATCATTACAAGTATCAGTAATATGATTAGTAACAGTAATTAAATTATAAGCAAATTTGATGAAAAAAATCTCATTATTTGTATAACTCCAAAAAAAAAGAGTCAAGACCACCCCTGAATTAATCATGGAGGTTTAATTTGAGCAATGGGAAGCATGACTCTAATCCTAAGCCAATCCCAATCATCCTAGGATGAAAATAAAATAACAAGATCATTCATATCATTCACAGGGATAGGTCCTAATGCATAACTAGATAAGGGTTGAAGAAGAGGAATCCACTTATCACCCCAAAATTTGATACACAAGTCATCACCTATGATTCAACCCAACCTTTTAGAGAAGATGTTCCAAATATACACTTAACTTTTTCAAAAATATGAAGAACTTTGAAAATTGCCTAAATAATGATTCTTTCCAAGGCTAAATTTGTATTTTTTTTACTAACAACTTGAGCCCCTAAGTCGTTTTTTAAAGGAAAAACTTTTTCCTAATCTTATCTATTATGAACCTAAAGTCTTGTTTAGAAGGCTTATGGTGACAAATGAGAATACCAAGGTATATTTCAAACTGATCATTATGTTTAATTCTCAAGTTATTACTAATCTCCTTAATTAATGGGGAATTAATATTTTTGGAGCAAAATAAAGACTTATTATTGTTAATTCTAAACCATAATGCAAGACATAACTCATTTAACACTAAGTTAATCACATGAACATGAGACATATCAACCTTGACCACTAAGATATCATAAGAAAAAAAATAAGTGAAAAATCTTAGGTCTTAAATTATTTAATGCAAAAGAAGACTATTCGTCACTCAAAATTTTGTTGTAAACTAAATGGGCTAACCTTTCAATGCATAAATAAAAATATAGAAAAAAATGAGATCCCTTGCATGAGTGATAAATCTTTCTTTTCAAATATTTAACCATTAAACAAAATTCAAAACTATATATTAAGCTAAAAAATTTATTTATATTTTGAAAAATCGTATCTTCATTTAAATTTATTTATCTTTAAAATTTATTAAATAAGAGCAGAATTACTACAATAATTTCTCACTGACCACACAAATTGGAGAATACAAATCAGACCCCGTTTCCCAATCGAGTAACAGCTCATGCTCTACGCTCAAGAAGGTAACTGCGTGCGGCAGTAGTTTTTTGTCAGAAGGGATTAAGACGTAAAATGAAAAACCCTCGTAACTTCAAAGAGATGAGAAAACTGTTCCACCGGTTAAGTAAATTAGAATCCCATACACAGCGGCACCAATGAATCTATGATATCAATGAAACTTATTTAGCTCTAAAACTGAAAATTCTTATTCTTCCACAATATTGCACTGCTGATAAATAATGCCTACCACAATTTGCATTTCTTTTTCCTGAAATTCACATGAAATTCTTATTTCAATTATTCCAATTTGGTTCATAATAACTAGCTTCAATGTCCCAAAGGTAGAGAGGTACCAATCACATCTAATTGACTATAAATATATTCCCCTTCCATTACATGCAAAATGATGTTAGAAATGAAATTTGGGAAGATCCTGAATGCTAAAATACCCTTATCTAGGAATTGATGCTCTCATACGGAAGTCGTGTATTTTAATCTCTACACAATCAACCAGTCACAACTTTTGACACAAGCCAATGAATGTGGTGTCACAACTATCCCTCTTGCAGAATAGGCTTCTATCAAGTTCTCTTTGCTACCCCTTTCAAGCAATCATCCAAACAAATTGACCACATGTCAAAAGGAGTGGTGTTGGCTGTATTTAACTGACAAGATTGTACACATTAAGTACAGCTTAGGTGACCAGAGTTCACCCAAACACTTCAAAAAACGATGCACTGAAAGAGCTTTTTCCATCATGGGAGAGCAAGGGGTCCTTCATCTTGAGGACACTGATCAAACACAGAGGTCCCAGTGGGTGCTTGATTCTCCCAACCCACCCCCTATTTGGAAGAAGCTATATAGTTCTCTCAAGGGAAACCTTTTGCCTCATGGGAACAAGTTCTGCTTTTCTTCATCTAAGAAGGACACTTTCCATGGACATGCTGTCTCATGCTTCCAGGGTTTGTTCCCAATACTTACTTGGTTGAGAGATTACAAGGCCTCCAAGTTCAAAGATGATCTCTTAGCTGGTTTAACTCTTGCAAGCCTTAGCATACCTCAGGTATCACTCACAAACTTTACTTCTAGTTTATGATGGAGAAATTGAAATGGAATGTTGCATTACATGACCCCCCCTTTTTTTTACCTTCGTTTTTTCTATCTTTTATTTAAATCTTGCAGAGCATTGGGTATGCTAATTTAGCAAAAGTTGATCCTGAATATGGCCTGTGTAAGTATAGTTACTCTACGCCGTTAATAATGTATCACACTAGAAACTGGTTTAGCACAGCATAGAAGAAAAAGAATAGAAGATTTTTATTTTTTATTTTTGGTATCAATATTTACTCTTTTGAATTTCACTATTGGTTTGGCTTCTTTTTTTTTTTTTTTTTTCCCTTTTGCATTTCAGATACCAGTGTTGTTCCTCCTCTTATTTATGCTATGATGGGAAGCTCAAGAGAAATTGCAATTGGACCTGTAGCTGTAGTGTCAATGTTGTTGTCCTCTCTGGTCCCTAAAGTGGAAGATCCTGTGGCTAATCCTCATGCCTATAGAAATCTTGTCTTCACTGTGACATTCTTCACTGGACTTTTTCAAACTGCATTCGGTGTTTTCAGGTGGTTTCCGCATTGGTTTGTGAAATTTCTTGTAAATTAGTAGTTTTCATTAACCTTCAAACCTTTCAGGTTGGGTTTTCTTGTGGATTTTCTTTCACATGCTGCACTAGTTGGGTTCATGGCCGGCGCAGCGATCGTTATTGGTCTTCAGCAACTCAAAGGGTTGTTGGGGATTAGTCACTTTACCACCAAAACAGATGTAATATCAGTGTTGGCATCTGTTTATAAGTCACTACATCATCAAATTACTTCTGAAGAAAAAGTGAGTTGGTTTTGCTATTTGATTTATGTTCGAATAAAGTTCATTTATTTTTGGAAAACATTACACAGTTTCTTATTCATAAATTTGATCCATTGAATTTATATTGGTCTTAGTGATAATTTAACCTTGTTCTTTGTTTATTAATTGACAGTGGAACCCTCTGAATTTTGTTCTGGGGTGTTCATTCCTGATTTTCCTTCTAATTACCCGTTTTATTGTAAGTGATGGAATTTCTGGTATTCATTTACCTTCTGCTATTTCAGTACCTCTTTGTTTAATTTGTCACATTTTATTATGAATCTCATTTCAGGGCAGAAGAAACAGAAAGTTTTTCTGGTTGCCTGCTATTTCTCCTCTTTTATCAGTTATACTTTCAACATTAATTGTGTATTTGTCAAGAGCTGATAACCATGGGGTTAATATAATAAAGCATGTCAAAGGAGGCTTGAATCCAAGTTCACTTCACCAGTTGCAATTGAATGGTCAACATGTTGGACAAGCAGCAAAAATTGGATTGGTTTGTGCAGTTATTGCACTCACTGTATGTTAATCCATATCCTGATTTTTCTCCAAATTATTGTTTCTTTTCCCAGTTCTAAGTCGTGAGACCCTAATATTAATCCAATCTTCTAATTCAGGAAGCAATAGCGGTTGGTAGATCTTTTGCTTCCATTAAGGGATACCATCTTGATGGGAACAAAGAAATGTTATCAATGGGAGTCATGAACATTGCAGGATCTTTAACTTCATGCTATGTGGCAACTGGTGATTTCTTTTGCTAATAAATTGTACAATTAATTTGTAATGTTTCTCTTATACATGGCTTCAGAAAACTAAAAACAGATGAAGAAATGCTTGAGATGTATCAAAGTTGTTTATAGTTTTTTGTTGAACACTTTGCAGGTTCTTTCTCAAGGACTGCAGTGAATTTCAGTGCAGGATGTCAAACAGCGGTGTCAAATATTGTGATGGCTATTACTGTGGTTTTGTCCCTGGAATTATTTACAAGGCTTTTATACTACACCCCTGTGGCTATCCTTGCTTCTATAATCCTCTCTGCTCTTCCTGGATTAATTGACATAAGTGAGGCTTGTTATATATGGAAGGTTGACAAATTAGACTTTCTTGCTTGTATTGGTGCTTTCGTTGGTGTGTTGTTCGCATCCGTAGAGATTGGTCTTCTTGTTGCAGTAAGCTATTCACCACTTCTAAACTTTTTTATGCCCGTTTGGTTTAAAGTTGAATAGAATTGATTTTGAACCATTGAATATGATCAAGATGTGTGCTCCAGTTAATCTGAATCACATACTTTCAATGAAAAGTATGTTTTTAATTCGAAAGTATGAGAATTGATTTTTTAATTGTAAAACAAACAAGGCCGAACTATTGCGCAAATTGAAATCACCTCTCTCCATTTCATGTCCTTTTCCCCACCCTCCAAATGAAAAATAGCATTCTCTTTTAGTTTATTTTTTGTTAAGATTTTAATTTTTTTATTGGAGAGATACAGAAGGAACTGAAAATGGGGCAAGTGATTTGTGTCCCTATTGCACACTAACTAGCATCCTAATAAGCAAAAAGTAACATAAAATTTCTTAACTTGTGAAAATGACAAGTGAGTTGAATAACTAGCATCCTTGTAAACAGGAAGTAACGTAAAATTCATTGACAACTTGCACATGACAATGGACCCAACTTGTTTTGAATTTGGTTGATTTATTGCTCCTTAAATGCCTTGCTTATTTTGCTTTCAAAGTAACTCTGGTGTGGTCAAATTTGGCTAGACATCCATGACTTGAATAATTAAATGTGGTACTTTATTTCTAAACAATTAATTATCATAGTATATTATGAACCCAAAAACTTCTCTTGATCCATACATACTGTTTGCTGGATTTTTTTGTAAAGAGAAGCCTTGTAATATAATCACAAGAAGAATTATGCATCCCGATTGTATCACTTTTAGAGGCTTCTAGTTATAGCCTATTTACTTGAACCATTGTTATCAATGTAAAGAACTAAAGACAAATTAATATATAGTAATTGACAGGTATACAACAAGTACTAGGATTTATGATTCAAAATTTCAAGTATTTTTTTGGATGTGCAGGTGATAATCTCGTTTGCAAAGATACTAATACAATCAATTCGACCTGGAATAGAAGTTCTAGGTAGAGTTCCAAGAACAGAAGCCTTTTGTGATGTTACTCAATATCCAATGGCCATAAGCACTCCAGGGATCATAGTTATTCGCATAAGTTCTGGCTCACTCTGCTTTGCAAATGCTAATTTTGTTAGAGAAAGGCAAGCAATTTACAAATCATTTAGAGGGGTTTAGCCCAAATTAAAACCATATGTGAATGTTTTTACTTGTTCCAGAATTCTCAAGTGGGTCACACAAGAAGAAGATGGCCTCAAAGAAACTACCAAGGGTCGAGTCCAAGCAGTAATCCTAGACATGACGAGTGAGTTGTTACATTTTGCATAAATTTTAAGAAAATGTTAATTTTGGCCCTTGAAGTTAAGGATAAGCAACTTATAAAAATGATATTTATTATTAGAAAATAAAAATACTGTTTATAAGTGCTTAAAGTCAGCCCATTGGGATGAAATTAGCAAAAGTGATAAATTTAATGCAATATTCATAAAATTTGATAATATGCAAATGATCCTTTGCAATTTTCTTTGATAGATCTGATGAATGTTGATACTTCCGGAATTCTAGCTCTGGAGGAACTTCACAAGAGGTTGCTTTCACGTGGGGTAGAAGTGAGGCCACCGTGAATTTTTGTTCTTTGGAATTAATGATGTTTGTTTTTATGTGTAGTTGCTTAAACCTATATACGCCCTAACACTAGCTGCAATGTAATTTTTTACAGCTAGCTATGGTCAACCCGAGGTGGCTAGTAATTCACAAGCTTAAGCTTGCACATTTTGTGGACAAAATTGGAAAAGAATGGGTTTTCCTCACAGTTGGAGAAGCCGTAGACGCATGTCTCTCTTCTAAAATTGCTAGAGACTGATTGATACCGTGTGTGTGTGTGTGTGTACTCACTCTAAACTTTATTGCATTGGGTATGGATTTGCATAAAAATTTGATGCATAATTGCATATATATTTAAGCGCATAAATTTGTGATATATCTTTGTATTACACAGGTTAAGCAATTATATCAAAAGGGAGGGATATCACAATTTTGGCAGGGAGAGATATTTATATGTATGCGCACTTAAATGTAATCCATGATTTTAAAATTTGAAATTAAAACAATGAAAATGATCTGAGATAATTTAGAGTGCATCTGATAGGTCATTTTACTAGCTTGTAACTTATTTGACTATTTTATAAGCTTGCAAAAATAAAAGTGTTTGATCAATGAGTTTGTTAGCTAGTTTATCGCATATTTCAAAAGTTCTTTCAACTGACTTTAAAATTATAGCATATAATTTATTATTGTATTTTTTCCCTTAATTTTTGCCCTTAATCTTTCAATAAAAATTCTCTTTTATCATTTTCTTTAATGTTACACTATTTATTTTAAGATAAAATATGTTTTTAATCCCTTAAAATATTTTTTTGTTTAGTTTTGATCTCATGAATTTTAAAACTTTTGAAAATGAACTATGTTATTAAGTTAATGAGATGATATATGTCGAGACATGTCATAATTTGTCATCGCAAAATTATTGTTAATCTGACATGTTTCAATGAATCTTCCGTTATCATAAAATAGTATAGAGTATAGAAATCACACACACACGATTGTTTCTTATATAATTTTTTAATATATATATATATATATATATATATATTAGTAATTAAAAGTAAAAACAAAATAAGAATTCATCTCATAAAAAGAAATAACTATTAAATTAAATATAGAATTTATTTAGATAATTAATACAAAATAAGACCAACTACATTAATTCATTTTGTACATACAAGGTTAAACGGGTGGAAATGAGTCCAATTTTTTGAGCTCACACATTTTCATCATTCTTCCTTACATTTTATTTTACACTCACTAATAAAAGTCGAACTTTTCTCTTTCTATGTGATATTTTCTATGGAATGTATGAAAACGTAAACTAAAAGTGATTGAAGAAATTTTTTTAAATTTTTATTGTTAAGTAGGAAAAGGAATTAAAACCCATATCGTGCAATATGACAACATTATAGAATATTCAAATAAATATTTTATTAACTCTTTAATCTCTAAAGTTAGTGTTAAAGTGAAAATTCCTGTTAATAATATATCTTTTATAAATCATACATTTAAACTACGCTTTTATGAAAGGTGAAAAAAAAAGGAATTATATTTAGATGGATTGAAATAAGAAAAAAAATTAATGAGTAAAAAATAATTAAATAATATTAAAAATAATTTAAACGGGTTTTTTATTAAAATATTTTTTAATAAAAAATATTTTTAATTTGTATATTATGTAATATTTAAAAAATATATTAAAAAAACTAAAATCCCACGTGACCCATTCTGATCGCTTTCCTTTCAAATTAAGATCATATGCAATAAAATTTTAATCAATCATTTTGATATCCAATGGTTAAAATAAATTAACTACAAATTAATAATCAAAATTTTATTGAAAAGAGATTGAAAAAAAATTCTACTATAAAAAGTTTAGATTTTTTTTCCTTCCCCCTCCCCCTTTGCTTTTCTTGTAACATTCCATTTTCCATTTGTGTGTAAGTATATGTAGGCTTTATGATATATACACTTAAACAACTAAATTTTTTTAAAATTCTTGTTCAAATCAGCTAAAAATATTTTTTATAAATCATTTTGAGCTACACATCAATGATAATATATTGAAGTATTTTATACAGATTATATTTTATATTTAAAGACTTTATGAATATTATAAATATTTATAAATTATCTTTTTGGTAGATGTGTAACATTGATTTAGTATACTCTATATATATTTTTTTAAAATTCTTGATGACGGGTGTCCAAAGCATAAAAGAATAAAATAAGTATTTTCTCTCTTCACTAAAGAGCACAATTTTAGTTTTGTAAGTTAAGCTTTTTTTCAACACTAAAATTACTTGCATTCTCTCATTCTTAGACAAATGCTAAAAAGAAAAACAAAAACTAACTTTTTCCCTCACTTTTTATGCAACAAGATGGAGAATAACACTTTCTCTTAATTTTAGCTAAGTGACATTACCCTAATTCTAATTTATCCCACTCTTTTAGTTTAGTCAAAGAGAACCCACTCACCACTCTTCTATTATCAGTTAAACAACCAATTACAAAATCTATTTTTCTTTTTTCTTTCGTTCTCGATCCAACATAGTAGAATTCAGTAAAGTAATAAAATTTCTAAGGCCACTATTTCTCCTAACTGTATCTCTAAATCTCAATTATGTGACTAATATGGCAGGTCACTCTTATTTCCTTACTTTCTCATTGCACCAAAATTTTTTCCTTATTTCCTTACTTCCTCAAATCCTCACCCTCTCTTCTCCTTTATTACACCGAAAATTGTTCCTTATTCTTGTCACTCACCTTACATGTTCATACTCCAAAGTTTAACACCCAATACTCAACATAAAAACAAAGAAATCACTTGTTATTCTCCTCCAACAACTTACTTTTCCTCTACTTAAGGCAGTCAAGATCTTGAACATTAATTTGGAAGAAGGAAAATTGAATCCAAAACTTATCCATTCCCTACTAAAATTGCATCCACAAGATAAAACAGTGAGTTCCATAAAATTTTGTAGAATGCTTGAAATTTTCCTACATGCACTTCTATTTCTAGTAATTTTGATCTCCCTTATTGATTGTATTTTTTACAAGTGATCACACTCTTGGATTGCTCTTGAACTTAGCTTTCTAGATTACTTTTCAAATCCAAAAACATAGTTTAAATCTCTAAGATATGCCTAAAACATGTAAGTGTTCTGAAATTCTATTTTCTATAGTAACAACAACCTAAATCATGTTTTTCTAACTTCTATGATGAATTCATATAACACGTAAATACCATTTCAGCATATCATCTTGCTTTTAACATATCATCTTGTGTTGTTTGAAGTTCATTTTATCCACCTTTTATCCAAACTACATAAGTATCAAAATTTTGAGTTTTGTAAGTATAAATAGTAGTTGTTTAGCATTTTTATAGTTATTACTTCTAGTGTAAGCTTCCCAACAATTTACAAGTGCAAATTAGATATGTGGCAACCATTTATGCTCATTTTTGTAAGTATTGTCGAATTCCATAAAATTTTTCTATGTAAAAATATGTTGCCTTGATCTTGCTTTTATACTCTCTTTTTTCATTTTAAAATTAGTAAATCTGTCTAAAACTGAATTTTAATGGACTCAATATCTTCATTTTTTTTTAAAAAGGAATGCATTGGCGCCTTATACACATCAATCAAAGTCTGAGCCATCAAGTACAACCCAAAACGAGAGTCTCACCCCATAAGGTAAGGGGAAAAATATATTTCAAGTAATAAGTAAGAAAAGAGATAAATGCAATAAGGTATCTCCTTAGCTCATGATCTAAAACACATATTAGGAGACATGTGCTATATATATTGATCATTCGCTATATTGAAAATATTATTTTATGACATTATGTTATAGTACGCGTAATAATATTAGCCATGGAGTGTAGCTGTCTAGGTAAGCGTGATCATAGTAGGACATCATGTAAGACATCGTAAGGAGTGTAGCGGTCAAGCCAAGTGCGACGGCTATACCTGAGTGCAAGAAGAGAATTGATAAAAGTGAGAATTTAATTGTTGTTGATATGGATAAAAGCCTAAGGCTTCAGTTTCATTTTATGATTACCTATATATTTCCTAATTTAATTTTATCTCATTGTTTTAAAGTAATAACCAATAATCTAATCAGTAGTTCCAACTATCTAATGATCACGCAATAGTGACATTCTTCTTATTTATATGTTATTCTAATGGCTATATTTGTTAAACTCAATTAATTGATTAGAAGTCTATGTGATAAATTAATTCTCTTAACTCTTAAACTCAAAATACCTCTTAGCTCTATTAACTTACTAATGGTAGTATCACTTATTAATTCATTAACTAGAATTTATCCTTAAGTGACCAATTCAATAATAATAATAATAATAATAATAATAATAATAATAATATCAATATCGTAAAATTAAACTAGGTTCAAAAGAGGTTATATCACAAGAATCTACCTCAACATCACGGTAAGAAATATTTAGTTACACATAGTTATAAAGATGAAAGTAAAGGTAATTAAACACAAAACAACTATAATAACAAAATAATATTTTCAAAAGCTTAAATATTTAGGATGCAAAATTGGTTCATTTTCTCAAACTTATATGCAAAGAAAATATAATCCTCACATAATTATTTGGTGATGTTAAAGACATAATTGACTAACTTGGTCTTCTAAGTACTTGATAGACTTCATGGTTTATAAATATTTTTTTTCCATATTAGTACACTATTTAATCTCATTTAAATGGTTTCATCCATCTAAATATCACATCTTACCACACAGCTAGACGTAAATTGTAACACCTTAAATTTAACTTCAAATATCTGATTTCACAAAATGGGAGAAAATAAAATTTCATTCAAAAATGATTCATCCCCATACATAGTTCATTAAAATATTCAAAATAAGGATGGGTTATAACTTGCATCACATCATTGCTACATGATTAATTCAATTACATCATAGTTTAAATAAATTTCTAATCCTATAGCAGTTTCATCCATCCCTTCATTGAGTCCAGTGCTGATCGTTTTGGTTACCTGAAAAATAAATATAAGGGTGAGTACTTTACCTATCTATCACACAAACAATCTAGAGACTCACCTTGCATACACATATGTACTCCTACATATCCTACTTAAAGATTAACAATTACAAGCAATACCTTCAAGCATTTCATTTCAATTCATAACTGATGCACCAAAACATTTCACACACGCGTGCACTTACTGCACATAGCCACGTTCACTGTGATCACAGTTTCACACCATGGATGGTCGCCGGTTACTCGCACATCACGATACCATGTGTGCAGTCATGGGTCGCTCTACAAAGTTAGTGGTCAGAGGTCTAGTAAGGAGGAAAGTGTGTGACATGTGGTGCACTCACGCTCATTGTTGGTGTCACCACCACTCTCTCTTCTCCAAGGTATTTCTATCATTCCCATCTTCCACACCTCCAGTGTATCGCTGAATCATTCATAGCATCATTACCACGACATTTAACATGCCTCATTCACACACATTTCAATTACACACAATACTCATATTTGCATACGGCACTCAGTCTCACATTCATTCACAATACACGGTACTCAAGCCCATACTCATTCAC